AAGCGAGATGAGCGCTGCAACCCCAGAGTCGGTCACGATTGGACTTAATGGTCAGGGGTCCCTTTACCTTAACCTTATTGCTTACATTGCATTCACAGGAAGTTTCCCACGCAGGTTTTGTGAAGCAGAGTGCCCACCCTCGGGTGGGTGATAGTTCCACATACAGAATCTATTCAATAATAATAGTAGTAGTAATAATCATAATCATAATCATAATAATAATAATAATAATAATACATTGCAGATTCTAGGGAATACCCCCTGCTGCTGCTGCTGCTGCCACCACCCACTGAGAGCCCAACTATGGGAGTATTTACATTGCAGTTATTTAGGCAGCAATCCAAACTTTAGATCAGTCAGAATGATAAAAATTTGGAATACACAAATATTCCGCTGAGCCAAGACCAGAATAAGTTCTCCAAAGAGGCCTTTGTATGAACCATGCTGCTTGGTTGAGTCATCTAGCAACCCACCAGAAATTACAGTGGTGTAAGTCAAACCGTTTTAAAGAGTTGGTTTCCCTTTGCTTGGTCATCCAGGAGTAGCCCTGCTGCTAAATGGAGTTTGGAGTAGAGATACATTAAACTGGCACAGTTTACTCCAGTGTAAATTATGCTGCCTTCCTATATTTTTGAATGCTCTGCCATGCTGCTTTGTCCCGGGGGCAGGGTGGTGGTGGTTTGATTCAATCCCCTTGATTGGAGCTTGTTTTCTTGGGGGTGGGGGCTGTCCCATTGATGGAAAAGTGGCTGGTGGAAAGATTGAGGGATTCCTCAATGCAAAGGACCTTCTTTTGGGGTGAGGGTGGGGAGGAGAAGGCCCCATCCTTGTGAGGAAATGGGGAGATTCAGGGAGATGATAAAGCAAAGGAAACAAGGACTTCTCTGTCTGTGCAAGTTCCGCTCTCCAACGGCACAACGACTGGGACAAAAATGGTGGAAGAAGAAGAGACAGGACAGAAATTTCTTAAAGGACCAGTGGAAGGAGATGGGCAGGGGAGGATGGGAGGATGGGAGGATGACTTCAAATATGGGATAATCTGCATCCCATTTTATTATAGGACGCAGCATTTTACTTTCAAATATGGAATGATTCCATATTTTAAGGGATGGGTGACAACCCTATGCTGAGGTGATCTCACAGAAAAACAAATACAATGTCATCACCTGCTAAGGATGAGGGAAGACCAAGGAAGGAAGGAAGGAAGGAAGGAAGGAAGGAAGGAAGGAAGGAAGGAAGGAAAGAAGGAAGGAAATACTTTATTTTTCAGATAAAGGGAGAGTTTAGCAATCAGGGCAGCATAGCAGGAGAGTGTGGCAGTCAGGAGGCAGAAAAATAATATTGCCCAAGGCCCTTTCAAAGGTAGAGTATCTACTGTATCAAAACCATAAACAGGAGTACTCTGTTAATAAATAGATATAGGCCGCAGGTGAACTTTACATTCAAATTTCTATTATACCACTTTCCTAGTCATGGCTTTCCCCCAAAGGCTTCTAGGAACTATAGTTTGTTAAGGTTGTTGAGAGTTCTTAGGAGACCACTGTTCCCCTCACAGAGCTACAATTTCCAAAGTGGTTTAACAGTCCATTCCCAGGGAATTCTGGGAACTGCGGCTCTGTGAAGGGATGCAGGTCTCCTCACAACTTACAAATTTCCAGGGTACCTTTGGGGAAGCTATAACTATTACTGATATAATAGTGGTATAAATGTAAGGTGCAGATTTGTCCATACATGAGAAGAATGAGGCCAAATGGCAATACAATGAAAAAAGTACAGCCAGAGACAATTTACTGTAAATTGCAGTAGAACACTAAACTGACAGACAGAGGCCCTGAGAGAAGCAAACACCCTTGTCCTTGCTATTACTACCAAGTGACACCATAACACAATAAAAATATAGAATGCTCCTTAAAATAGGGCATGGTTCAGTTTACTATGGTCAAGTAATAGGCAGCCTGTTCACCGGGCAATTAAGAATATTTTACCAGTGAACTGACTGGCATCCCAGCTCTAGCTGATAATGGATATATTGAAAGTGGGGGCGTTTAAAGCAGGAACCACTATTTCCATTATATGTGTGGCCTAGTCGCTCCCATGACAAAAATTGTAACATGGAATGATTTATATCTGACTCAAAGATAGCTTTTCTGAGATGCAGGGAGCAGTGCTGTCTTTTCAATGGCCATCCATAGCGATTGGTGTTTTTTATTCTGTACATTCAGGGACTTCTGAGAGAACAAATAGCAAATCTGTAAAAGCTGAAGCCTGTGCTAGTTATTAAACTTCTCAGGGCCTTCACAGTCTGCAATAAACCTGTCTTCTGCAATGTAAAAATTTCAAAAGTTCTCCCTAGATTTCTTAGCCTTAAAGTACAGTTAAGCGGTGAAATGAATATGACACCATTAAAGGTGAAGTAAAATAATTGGAGAAATCATCACCATCATCATTATGTGCCTCTTCCTCTCAGTAAGTGCCACTGCTGCCAGCAAGGGTGCAGAGGGAATGTATGTATATAAAACTATTTTTGGTGGTAAACAAAGTAGCAGAGTAGCCTTACACCTAGGAAGTTAAATAACTCTTCTAGGTGATTGATAGCTTCTTTGTGAATTACAGGGACAGAACTACCTAAAGTGTATAGAAATTTATTTATGTATGCGACTGCAGCAGCAAGAATGTTACTTGCCCAAAATGGAAAGAAGCAGAAGTCCCAGCAAAGGAAGAATGGATACAAAAACTTATGGAATATGCAGAAATGGCGAAACTTACTGAAAGAATAAGAAATCAAGATAACAAACTTTTTATAAAAGAATGGAAATGGTTTATTGAATATTTACAGATAAGTTGCAAACAGATAAAAACATTATCAGGATTATTGTAATCACCTGCAGTTTCATAAGAGTATATATTTAAAGTAGATAAATAAATGAGCAAATTAAAGGAATTTGGATATGCAGAAGATATTAAAAAATAAATTTAAGGAACCACAGAAAGAGGGGAAAGGAAGTCAAACCTTGAAATGTTGAAATGATTGCAAAATTAATGAAATGTATTAATCTAAAATGTATAAATAAAATTAAAAAAAAATAAAAGATAGCTTCTTTGTAAACATTATAAAATATCCAGACTCTTTATATTCAAATGAATTTTTCTTTTATCATCATATAGCTGAGAATATATTTGCAATCTCATGCTTATTCAAACATGGGTTTGTTCTCACTTGAAGTCTTATAAATTTAGACTTATAAATAAAACTGTGTTGAGACTTGCACCAAAGTTTTACCTCACTTAGGTCTTATAGTTTCTTATGAAAAGAATTATTCTTATTATTTTACTTTCACCTCAGCAGTTTTCTCTGTTTCTTACAGAGAGCTCCTGCACAGGTTTCCCCCTATTAACATTTAGGAATATTCTGTCCCCCTAAAAGAGGGCATGTGTTGCGATGAGGCCTGGAGACTGACCTCCTGTGTTGTGGGTGGGTAAGATTGGTCAGCCACAACACCCAATTGGTAGGTCCCTTATTGCTGGGTTTAATCTGGCCAATGGGGCGCAGTCGAAATGGATCGAGGGACCTATATATACCCATGCACGTGACCCAGAGCTTCCTCTTTCGGCTCGTGCATTCGGAACACCCACCCACCTCTCCCTACTTTTAGGGCATTTTTTGCGATTGACCTTGCTATGCTGTTGTGTGCTGTCTGTCGTTGGGACAGAGGCATGGCAGGAATTTTCCCCACTTGGCTGGTTGGCTGTTGCCATTTGGGTTTCACCTGCCGTGTAGCAAATCATCACAACTTGTAAGGTTGCGGATAGGCACTGGTTCAGTTGATAGGGATGGGAGAATGGTCTTGCCATCCCTATGTAAAGGGTATTCTGTTAAAGGAATCCAGGGACTCAACTGGTTTACTCAAGATGGGGTTGCATGAGTCCAGGGGAGCATCTGGAGGGTGAACATAGTCTGTTCCCAGCTTTTCACCTACCCAGGTGTTCAGCCTTGGCTGGCCTATGCTGGTGCCCTGGGTCAGCTCTGCCTGCAAGGGTGCAGGGAGCTAGTCAAACCAGAGCCTATGCAACCACTCACTTTCTGTAATAAATAAAGTTGTGGCCTAAATTCTGCCAAAAACCAAAACTAAAATTTGAGTCAAATGTGTCTTAGTGGGGAGGTATCTGGGTCTGAACACGCAACTTACTCTGTCTCTTTCACTTTAGACAGATCACACTGACACAACACTGTCCTCAGCAGTATCCTGAGAAGACACTCTCAGCAGCCATTCTCTCTCTCTCTCACACACACACACAGAGAGAGAGAGAAAAGAAGAGCAGGTTAAAAAATGACAGTTACTGGAATAACAGTCACAGCCGAATAGAATGCCTCTCTTATGTGACTCATAGTCAGCCAATCACATGAGAGCTACTGCCAGATAGGGGAGGAAAATCCCATATTAAAAGTACACATGGATTTTACATTACCATTTCAGGAAATTATCCTTAACAGACAGTTGATTTCTAGAGCAAAAGAAAGGGCATACTCAACCATTGCTTGGTCACCTTGCAATAAGGATAAGTGCAGCAAAAACATTGCATCCCATATGTGAAAATTTCACTGGAATTTCTTTCCTCCCCTTAAATAATTTTCAAATGTAATTTATTTTTTCATTATTTGCTGGGGAATGATTAAAAAAAAGGTAAAATTGCAGGACAAATTTTTCAGTAAAACACTGAATTAAATGGATCAATACAGTTACGATCTGTTTGTTTATAAAATGGAGGTTTGGGATGGTGTTGTAGCTTACTGATATGCCTTGTATGCTTGAATGTTCCAGATACAATCCCTGGCATCACCAGGTAGAGTTGGGGAAAACTGCTGCCTGAAACCCTGGTGAGATAAAGCCAATCTATGTAGACTAACAGTGGTACCTTGGTTGTTGAACTTGGTTTGAAAACCAAGGCACAGCTTCTGATTGGCTGCAGGAACTTCCTGCACTCAATCAAAAGCCGCAGAAGCCATGTCAGATGTTCAGCTTTCAGAAATCGATCACAAACTGGAACACTCACTACCGGGTTTGCAGAGTTTGGGAGCCAAAATGTCCGAGTACCAAGGCATTTGACTATCAAGGTATGACTGTACTGACCTAGATCAACCAATGGCCTGACTCAGTATGAGACAGCTTCCTGTGTTCAGATTTTTGGGTCACTGGGTCAAACAGCACAATGCCTGTGGTCATACAGAATGAACCCTCATCTATAACCTACCCATATTCAACCTCAGATAATATATCTCAGTAAAGAAGCTGCAGTTTGGCATCTTGTTATGACACTAATGGGACATGTGGCATGAGCAAAGTGATCTATCTGATGGAGCAGAAAATGCCTTTGATTAATGGAAAATGAATGCCATTCATCTTAATGTGATTTCTATTATACAGGTTCAATAGATAATGAGATCTTTTATCTTTCTTTGCTAAGCATAGGTAGCTAACCCTGAGGGGCAAGCTCTGTGTTTAAAAGAGAGAGAAAACACTCGACTTTCTCTCTCTCTCTCTGCTTTACTTTTTAAAAGATATAGTATTTTTAGACGTCTGGTGACAATTTAGCCACAACATGGAGACCAATTAATGACTCTCTTGAGAAAGGAAATGGGTCAACTTTACCAACTCTTCATGTGACTCAGGAGAATATCTACATCAGGAACATGTGAAATATTTCCCGTTACTCTGACAGATAATTTCTACCTTTCCTATCCTGTTGAAATTGTCTGGCAACGACACTGATCCACCTAAGTAAAAATTAATTTTTCACAACACACTAAATAACAATAACAATAATAATATATTTATACCCCGCCCACCTGGCTGGGTTTCCCCAGCCACTTTTGGTGGCTCTCAACAGAATAATAATAATAAAGTGATAAAACATCAAAAATTAAAAACTCCTCTAACAGTGCTGCCTTCAGCCATCTTCCTAAAGTCAGGTAGTTGTCTATTTCCTTGACATCTGATCGGAGGGCGTTCCACAGGGTGGGCACCACTACCAAGAAGGCCCTCTGCCTGGTTCCCTGCAACCTCACTTCTCACAGTGAGGCAACCGCCAGAAGGCCCTCAGAGCTGGACCTCAGTGTCCGGGCTGAATGATGGGGATGGAGATGCTCCTTCAGGTATACTGGGCAGAGGCCATTTAGGGGTTTAAAGGTCAGCACCAACACTTTGAATTGTGCTCGGAAACATACTGAGAGCCAATGTAGGTCTTTCAGGACTGGTGTTATATGGTCCCGGCGGCTACTCTCTCTCTTTTTTATATTTTTTACTAAATTTTATTAGTATTTTCGACACAACAACAACACAAAAGATATCTAAAAATAACAATACACAACACACACAAATCAACATTTGAAAACTAAAGAAAGCAACAACAACTACAAAAACAAATCCATATCTTACAAGTTAATATTATAAACACTAAAGCAACAACAAGACATTGACTTCCACCAATCCCACAGCACCTCCTTTATCTCTCATTGTGTCTTCCTATTTTCCTGTTTTCTTTATCATCTCTATCCTAACATCTAGATATAAATCCCTCTTTCATATCTTCAGTCACTCTCAGTCACCAGTCTAGCTGCTGCATTCTGGATCAGTTGTAGTTTCCGGGTCACCTTCAAAGGTAGCCCCACGTAGAGCGCATTGCAGTAGAGTGCATTGCAGAAAAACAGATGTGTATTTTATGTGTATGAGCCCTTGTATTTGCATGTCATGTTTCCCATTCAAAGGCACAATCTTTTCAATCAATATAATGTAAATTTAAATCACTTATGTGCATCATGTTACTGCTGACTTCGGTGCATCTCGTCACTCTTGTTTTTCCCCAAAGATCCACTGATAATAATCTCAAAACTTGCTGCCTGATTGGGTTGCTTCTCTGTGTGTTTTACAATGGGAGAGGAAAATCCTGGTGATATTTGCGGCATCACCAACACCATGCATTCAAAGCACATGAATTCCCCAAAGAAACTTGGAAACTGTAGTTTGTTAATGATGCTGGGATCTTTCTGGCACCTAATCCTCTCAGCTTCTTTCAAGAGCCTGCCTCCTCTCCAGTCATTTCTGGTACATCCTGCTCAGCGGCAGACTTCTGGGTCCTTAGAGTGATGATTCAGCCACTGTGCTCACCATTTGCAGTCTCTGGCCATTCTGTTTTTCACAGATATGCCAGACACAATCCAAGTGATACTCCACGCCACAGTTTGGCAGATTTATGCCATTTAAATGTGGACTTTTTGTGCATTTCCCCACAAAATCCAAAACAAAGAGGATGTAATGCAGGCATCCCCAAACTTGGCCCTCCAGATGTTTTGGGACTGCAATTCCCATCATCCCTGACCACTGGTCCTGTTAGCTAGGGATGATGGGAGTTGTAGTCCCAAAACATCTGGAAGGCTGAGTTTGGGGATACCTGATATAATGGATCTAGGATTGAGCACCAATGAGACTGAAACGGGATTGGTCTTCCAGGTATAATGGAAATGCACCACAATTTGCCATGAAAACTTTGTTCAGGTATAACACCAACAGGTGTGTTGTTTTCTTTTGTTTTCTTTGTCTTATGGGAGCATATTGTTCAAATGTTGCCTTATAATTTCCCAATAGCAAATGTTGTCATGTGGGAATATCTGTCAACAGCCAAAAAAAAATTTAAAAAATAAAAAGAGTAGTATTTTAATTCACACACTACTGATGAAACTGAGAGAACTCTGGAGAAATGAAAGACACAAATTGGCAGTCAGGGCAATGAATGTGTAGTCCTGTATTTTTCCTATTAGTATTTTAGACGTACAAAAGTGATTGTTACTTTGTTTTTCTCTGCATACGTAATTACTTCTGCCTAAGGAACTGTATATAAATCAGTTAATGTAAACATGGTATGCTATACTGACACGGAGAGCAATCCAGATTTCAATGGAAAACATCTTAGACAGTTTAGAAACTAATAAGAGAAAACACAATCATATATGACTTTTGCCCATGGGGACTGGTGTGTTGGAAGGCAGGGAACACCTTCTGGACTCCCCTCCCCCCCCAAAAAAAAAAGCCAATTGTGGAGCCTGGGAGAGGAGAGAGGGGAAGTCCATTGCTCTAAGTGGAAGTTTGTGCACAGGACTTCTGCTTGCAGGAAGTAAGGTGGGTGAATCCTGCCCAATCTGAGTATGCCTAACATTAGATACAATACTATACCTACTTTACAGATCTGTTTATGTACATGGTCAGTCCTACCATTTGGTAGAGTGTAGGAGCTGCCTCAGGCTACCTCACAGGTTGAGGTGGTTCTCCCACAAGATTTTGCACTGCCAGTTTCTCTCAACAACAGAAACCTTTGAGATTGGTTCAGTAAGAAATCAACTTTAGGGTTGTTGGTTTTTTGTATGTGCTATGGCTGTTTCTAATTTAATATAGATTTATTTCATTAGCTACCGTATTGGCCTGGATATAAGCCGCACCCACAAATAAGCTGCACCTTTAAAATTCAAGGGGGGGGGAGAAAAAAAGACAATACCTGGGATGTAGCACTGCTTTGCCGGCGGCCTCCCCTCCCCCCCCTGACGGCTATGGGGAGGCTTGGGAGCGGCGGCCGGCCCTCCATTGCCCTGCGCTCCCAGGCTGCTTCTTGGGGGGAAACTGCACCACTTTGCCAGTGGCATAAGGTCATGAATATAAGCCACACTTTAACTTTTCATGATCAGAATTTGGAAAAAAAAAGTGTGGCTTATATTTGGGCCAATCTGGTATTTGACTTCTATATTTTTTGTAATACATTCAAAGTTTTTTACGTATACATATGTGTATGTGTTTGTGTAGTTGAAGAATAACTTAATAAATGTATTTCAATCTTTTTAGATAAGCCCTTGAAAAGGGCATTTGGGGCTAAAATGTGTTGAGCACATAGTATAGATAACAAATCCATTCATTTCTCTTCCTTGTATGCCAGCTGATTTTGAGTGTCACAAAAGGAGAGCAAATTCATCATTTAATGTATTATTGTTGTTATTTCTACTGACATGGAGGAGAGGAGGCCCTTGTGAGATCTTCTGCCAAAATAACTTGGCTAGCCTTTGATATTATGGATCTGTATTTGTTGGGATGGGCAATTGCTGCCCTGCTTCAGGCAGCAAAATATCTTGCGTCAGCCCTGTATATATTTATCAATACTATTGATGATCCAGATTCATTTCATAACCCAAATCTCAGGAGAGCTAGCCCACCAAGCCCCAAAACAGCAGCAATGTTTGTCACTTGTTTATCTGTAATATAGAAGCATCCAAGGTGAACTCTGAATGGGGTTGTTAATGAAGGGGGTCATCCTACAGTATACGTCAACAATGGCCTCTCACCTTTGAAACAAACCTTTCAGTGCAAGAACCCATAATCCATACTCCCCTTTTGTTATTGCTGCTTATATAAAGTGATGAACAAATAGGGCAGGCCACAGTGTTTTCTTCTTTTGAAATTGACAACACTTCTGGTGTTTTTCAGAAGCTCAGATAGTTTAACACATTCGCTTTTCAGCAGGTGGGTTGTGAGTACTGTGTCAGATCCTGACCTCAGCTGAATTGGACTAAGTTTTATTATTCCAGTTATCTTTTATTTTTGAGAAAGGGGAGGAGAGGTAGAAATGCAGGGCCAAACTACATATAGATATTACTTTTCTGCAGTTATGCATTAAAATAATAATAATAATAATAATAAAAGGTTCAGGAAGTTGCAGTTTTGAGGAAAGGAATCCTCAGATAGGGGATGAATAACCCTTCTCCTTCCTAAACATGGTTCTCTGGTCTAAATAAGTTTATACTTGTTTTTCATGCATGAAGCCTAAGATTCATGCATGAAGCTCTTGCACCTCCTGAAAAGATGGAGCCACTATGGTACTGAGCTGTAGAACTAGTCTATTCTCTTCTACTCTATATGTGATTCCAGAGAATATTGGAGAAGGAGACATAACTAGTTGCATTCTCTAAATGTATTCCACTGCACCAGCATAAGCCCACTTTCTACTGCTGGGGTAGGGAACCTTTGGCCCTCTAGATGTTGTTGGCTTCAGCTAGCATATTTAGTGATCAGGGATGATGGGACTTGGAATCCAACAATGTCTGGAGTGCCACAGGTTCCACATCTCTGTTCTAGAGGGTCCTTTGGGGAGCAGGAGATAGCTGCTCTTAACTTGCAAGATAAAACTAAAGTAGAGGGGAGCACTTTAATATACACACTGTAAACTCAGAGGAATAGGGAGATGTCAGTTTCAGAAAACCCAAATGATAATAACCGAGATTTCTGGTGCGTGTTTCTGCCAATGAATCATTTCAGAAAGTCTGCTTGATCCTTTGAAATTGAAATGATCTTAGGCGTAACTCATTCCGTTCTGTTGGCTAGAATATTGGCAAAAGTTAATAAACAAGAAGGGTCAATAATTACTGCTGGACCAGGAATTTGTATTAGCTATTCAGTCACTGATCACTGGCTCAGAGAATGATTCATGGACTCAGCTTGTACAATGTAGCTTGTCAAATGCAAGTTTCAGCTTGGGAGAGAGACATTCACTGAACTGTTTAAAGAATCCTGCAATGAAATCATTGGAGCCAGAAGAGTTTTAACATTTTCTAAGTCCTTCGCTGCTGTTGTAGTTCTCCTCAGCTCTTGGAAAGTCCAACAATTTGTTTTTCTTCTTACTCTTCTTTCTGATTTTGTAATTAAACACAATGTCAAATTTACCTTTCACAACTGCATCCAATGTTTCCTGTATGTGGGGCTGCCCCACTTTTAACTCACAAGAACCTAGAGAGTTCAGTTAGGTTGGGAGATAGTGGCACAACAGATCTAGGCTGAGCCTTCACAGCTTGTGACCACCAAAGCGCTTGCAACCGACTAGCCACATATTGTGATCACCAGGTGTTTTATGCCTCCCAATATATATAATTATATATTTCAGCAGCTCAATCACACCCCTATTTTTTTGCAGATGATTGCTTCTGAAAGTTTACTAAGCCCCTGATGGGATACCACACATAGCTAATAAATTGTGTTTGATTTCAGTTCAGCAAAATTTCAGACCTACTTCATGCAATGGAATGAGGAACAAAGACAGAAAAGGACACAGCATCATGTTGGTTCAGAAAAACGGAAGAGAATGAAGTAGAGGTTTGGGGCATATATTGTTAGGTGAGAGAAACCCATCACAGATTTAAAATCTCAAAATATGCAGCAAAGTAAAGCATGGAAATATAGACTATAAAACCTTTAATTTATGTCCTTCCAAGTGAGTTCTAAAATTGTCCTCTTTAAAAGTTATTTTCAGTTTCCTTCTTTCCCCAGCGTAGCAAAAGGCCACACGTTTGGTAAGTTAAAAATGGTTTACTTACAAACTCTCCAAAGGTCAGATTCATGTGCTTTTCTATACATCAGTCAGAAAGGTTGCACAGGCAGTAAAACATAGTTTAATTACAAAGTGGGAACAGTTCCTAAAACTATTGGTATAGGAATGTAAAAGAGGCTTGTGAAAGCTATGTGACTGACCTGGAGGAGCCAGCTCAGACTTCCTCGCATGCTGAGTTCACTGGTATGCCGAGGGGATCAAAGGCTTGATTACCCATTTCCTCCCAAGGTAAGGGGAAGTGACATAATTAAGTTTGTCAGGGCAGCTTACGCAAATAGCAAGATTCAAAGACATATAGGCTTGTGCTTTGTACAGCAAACCTTAAGGGATTGTTTCATAATATTGCTGTTTACCTGAACACCTGACAAAGCAGGTGCTTCCAAGGCCCATCAATCATATCTGCATTAAATTCAGCGCATACACACACCCCTCAGTAAATGTTATGGGCAATACGTATGCTTATCACCATCTGGAAACAAATAGTGTGTGTATATGTGTGTGCAGACAATTATGGAGATATCTAGGATTTTCCTTGCCCAAATATATTTGTAAGAGAAGCTCAGCTTGTCAGAAGCAAGGACCTCTCCATTAGTCAGCAGTGCATCTGTCAACAGACTGCTAATGTGCCTAATGGGGTTTCGCTATATATCATTGTAACCTCGAGACCCCCAGGCTGAACACTGCTTTGCTGGCAGGTTTTACTTGCTTGCATGCGGTGTGCAAATTATCACTATCGGTATGATGGCGTGAGATAAACTGCAGCTCCTCTCTTGCTTTCTTTTGTTCAAGATCTGAGAATGTACAGGTGACTGGAGCTAAGAAGGAAAGGGCAGAAGAGGCTGGAAACTGCTACGCCACAGTTTATTTCCATTGTTCAGAAATAACAAGGAAGGTGCACTGTGAAATGTAGAAACACTGGGGGGGGGAATGTAAGAACAGCATTAGGAGATAAAAGTAGTACCGAGGCTTGTAGTAAGGAAAGGTTTTAAGACAAGGGTAGTAAACATGGGACGCGGGTGGCGCTGTGGGTTAAACCACAGAGCCTAGGACTTGCTGATCAGAAGGTCGGCAGTTCGAAACCCCATGACGGGGTGAGCTCCCATTGCTCGGTCCCTGCTCCTGCCAACCTATCAGTTCGAAAGCACATCAAAGTGCAAGTAGATAAATAGGTACCACTCCGGCGGGAAGGTAAAGGGCGTTTCCGTGCACTGCTCTGGTTCGCCACATGACCCGGAAGCTGTACGCCGGCTCCCTCGGCCAATAAAGTGAGATTAGCGCTGCAACCCCAGAGTCGGTCATGACTGGACCTAATGGTCAGGGGTCCCCTTTATGCTTTACCTTAGTAAACATTGGGCCTCTTGATATTGCCGAACTACAACTTCCATCGCCATTTGTCATTAGCCACATTTACAGGGGCTGATGGGAGTTGCAGTTCAGCAACAGCTGGAGGGCCACCCCTGTTTTAGGAGTACATGGGTCTTGTTCTACTGAGTGAGGTCTGAGACATGCTTTTAAAGCACTGTGAATTTGCCACACAAATATCATGCAGTAACACTCAACATGTGATCGTGTTTGTTAGCTGACATGCAGTGGCATTGAATATTTGGTAGTGTCTGACTAACAAGAGTAGAATTCAGTATTTGTCTAGTATACATAACATTCATTATTTAATGATATTTATTGGCTGGTCTGCAGTAGAAGTCAATATTTGACAGTATCAGATCTTGTATTAATTTCACTCACCTCAGCAATCAAGAGACTCTTAAATTTTAACACTGATGTCCAATTCCGATCTGAAATTCACATGTCAGATGTTGACCTCCATATCCAAATGGCTCGTTTTAAATCTTCATCTGATTTTGAATCACATTTCACATTGTGAATAAGCCAAGATCATCCTGGGAGCTTCATGGCTGGCTGGAGATCTGAGCCCTTAAGGCTCCCCCCCCCCCCGCACTAATTAAGGGAAGAGGACAGTAAGAGGAATGGGAATTCTCTAAGAACTGATAGAGGGGCCCACAAATCTGCAGAGCTCAATTTTAAGATGTTTCATTTACATCTACATCTATGTTTCATTTACACCTATCCCAGATTCATCAAGAACCTTTGAGTGGGCTGGGGAATAGTGTGACAATAGCAAAGTCCAGACATTCAGTTCCATAATATTCTCCTTCTTATGGCTAGAAGTCGCATCTTGTGAACTAAGACATATGAAACAGACATATGAAACAGGCGCAATGGATACTTAAGGTCATTAAAATGTGACAACCAGCTCTGTACATCCATTCCTATATGCAGTGAACTGCTCTGGGATAGGGGTATAGCAAACGATGCATATTCTGAATACATGTACAGTGGTACCACAGCTTAAGGACTTAATTCGTTCTTGAGGTCCGTTCTTAACCTGAAACTGTTCTTAACCTGAAGCACCACTTTAGCTAATGGGGCTTCCCACTGCCACCACAATGCCGGAGCACGATTTCTGTTCCTCATGCTAAAACAAAGTTCTTAACCCGAGGTACTATTTCTGGGGTAGCGGAGTCTGTAACCTGAAGCGTCTGTAAACTGAAGCATCTGTAACCCGAGGTACCACTGTACTATCAATAACCTTCTGCTTCAAGTACAACTCAATACAGTGGTACCTTGGTTCTCAAATGCCTTGGTACTCAAACAACTTGGAACCCAAACACTGCAAACCCGGAAGTAAGTGTTCCAGTTTGTGAACTTGTTTTGGAATCCGAACATGCTCTGTTTTGAGTGTTATGATTCCGATTTGAGTGCCACACTTCCGTTTTCAACGTTACGCTGCGGTCTGTCTGTTTTTGCTCTTTATTTTGTGTTTATATGGCTCTTTTTTTGTTTTTGGGACAGTGTGGAACCCAGTTCAGCTACTGACTGATTAATTGTGTGTCTACTGTACTTTGTTTATTGCTTTCATTTTATGGATCAATGGTCTCGTTAGATAGTAAAATTCCCGTTAAATTGCTGTTTTGGTTGTTGTTTTTTAGAAGTCTGGAACGGATTAATCCATTTTGCATTACTTTCTATGGGAAAGCTTGCCTTGGTTTTGGAACGAACTTCCGGAACGGATTAAGTTTAAGAACCAAGGTACCATTGTATAGGAATTCAGTATGTTCATAGAATTACAGAATTGTAGAGGTTAAGGGTCATCTAGTTCAACTCCTGCAATGTAGAAATCTCAACTAAAGCATGCATGACAGATGGTCATCCAACCTCAGCTTAAAAACTTCAAAGAAATGAGAGTTCACCACCTTCTGAGGGAGTCTGTTCCACTGGCTAACAGCTCTTACTGTCAGAAAGCTCTTCCTGATGTTTAGTTGGAATCCCCTTTCTTGTAACTTTAATCCATTGGTTCAGGTCCTACCATCAGGGGCTCCTGTGGTTCTTTGGACCAGGCTGGATGTCTTCAATGTGAAGTTCAGTAATTAAACTAGTCAATACAGACAGTTAAGTACTTACCACAGATCTTATTGTGACCCTGCCTTTTGAGGTTGCCAGCCCATTTATGTGACATAACATAACCATTTCTCTCTGTATTTGATGACTTGATAACATGCCACATTTCTTTGAGGTGTTCCATAAAGACAAAACTTATACAAATTAAAACATGAAAGCAAGATCATTCTGTATAGAGCAGTTCAAAAATATAAAAAGAGAAAGGAGACTGAGTCACCAAGGCATGCAGTTTGATTTCAGCATATAAGGAACACTGTGGGAAGTAAAGAGAGACTATTCACTGTGTGCATGTATATAAGTGTCTGATAAAGTGAGACTTGAAAGAGAATTTCAAAGAAAAGGGTCATTTTCTCATTTTGCACCAAAGCCACTTTATACTTCTCAGGAAGTAGCTTACATTGACAAAGAGGTTTAGACTCTATCGCTGAGAGATTGGAGATTACTTTTTATAGCTGAATGAGAAAAGTGCATTAGACATGACATATGCTGGACTTTGTAACCTGTTGTTCTTTCTTGGAATGTGCTGAGAAATTCCAGGCATCTAGAACCTTCTTGCAAGGTCCCAGTCTTGAAAAACAACATCTCCTAAGATTTCTATTCTGACTCTTCAGACCCATTCTGTAAGATCCAGAAATTCTTCTACCACACACAAACTCCCACAAGATATTGAATGTCTGTATGCTGCCACTCGTATCAGGGGTGAGCAACCTGTAGCCCCTGAGAAGTGGCTGGATTATACCTGACCACTGACCATGTTGTCTGGAGTCCAATAAAATTCTGAAGGGCTACAGGTTACCCCCCCCCCCATGGATCACTGCCTTGTCGTGGCAAAGGGGCTTGAATAACTCCAAGAAATTATGAGCTATGCTGTGCAGGTCCACCCAAGACGGACAGGTCATAGCTGAGAGTTTAGACGAAATGGGAGCCACCTGGAGAAGGAACTGGCAAACCACTCCAGTATTTTGCCAAGAAAACTCTATGGACATAAAAAAGGAGAAGCTTTGAGAAGAAAGTGAGAGTTTCCAAGGCATGCTCTGGTTCATGGGGTCACGGAGAGTCGAACACAACTAAGACAACTAAACAACAACAACAGGTTGTCGGTATCCTGAGGTTGAAAGGCCAGCTGGCTAGGCCCCAGCTGGATCGTCTCCCTCTCAGCCTTCACGCTGCGGAGATTCATCAACCTCTGGCTCCGACGTAAATCAGTGACTCAAGCTTGCTGACTTGAGCACACTATAAGTAGCAGAGTAAACAGCACAACAGAAGAGGCTTGAGGCTGTGGATACATACTAAAAATATGGATTTATTTTACATAAATCAGAACAAAGAAACATGTCGTCTCTCCTTGCCGTC